TAGAAAGCCTGCACTATAGAACATTCTCAGCAATGTTCAATCAGAGAGAAATTGAAACTATAGCCAGAGCCACCAGAAGGAAATTGAAGAAGACCTTAGAAGATGGAAAGATTTCTAAGAATCTTGGATAGGCAAAATTAATATTGCCAAAACGGCCATACTACCAAAACTGTTATACATGAGGAGGAAATGAAAAAAAAACTACCAAAGGGAGGACCACATCAAAGAGAAATCAATCAAAGGTGAAACCAAGTCAAGTTAAAATCCAAAAATAAACCCAAATGACCAGGAATACAAATCATATCTCAATAACAACCTGAATGTTAATGGTCTAACCTCATTAATCAAAAGACATAGACTGGTAGATTGGATTTTTTAAAAAGATCCAACAATTTTCTATCTTCAAGAGACTCACTTCTTAGGAAAAGACATCCACAGACTGAAGGGAAAAGGGGGGAAAAAAACATAACACTCACATGGATTGCATAAACAAGCAGAAGTTTCAATCCACACATCAGATAAAGTGGACTTCAAGCCAAAGTTAATCAGAAGGGACAAAGAAAGGTTTTTTATACTGTCAACAAGACATAACAATCTTAAATATATATGCTCCAAACAAGGGAACATCTATGTACATTAAACAAACTCTTCTCAATTTCAAGAATCAAATAGATTACAACACAATAATTCTGGGTGACTTTATCACTCCTCTCTCACTACTGGATAGATCCTTCAAACAAAAGCTAAACAAAGAAACTATAAAACTAAATAATAGAATCAATAATTTAGAATTAATGAACATATATAGACTATTTCATCTATCCATGAGTGAATACACTTTTTTTCTCAGCAGCACATGGATCCTTCTCTAAAATAGACCAAATGTTATGCCACAAAGTGACTCTCAGCAAATACACACACACACACACACATACACACACACCCACACACACACACACCTGTATTCTTTCATATCATTATAGAGTAAAACTAATAATCAATGATAAAATTAAAAAGTACTTCACCTGGAGACTAAATAACATACTATTGAACGATGAATGGATAGTAGTAGGAATTAGGGAGGAAATAAAAAAGTACTAAGAGATAATGAAAACACCGATACAACATATCAAAATCTCTGGGACACTATGAAAGCCAGTGCTAAGAGGAAAGTTCATTGCATTGAGCTCATTCATTAAAATAATAAAAAGTCAATAAATAAATGACCTAATATTACATCTCAAAGCCATAGAAAAAGAAGAACAAATCAACACCAAAACCAAGAGAAGACAGGAAATAATTAAATTCAGAGCTGAAATCAATGACATTGAAACAAAAGAAACAATTCAAAAAATTGACAAAACAAAAAGTTGGTTCTTTGAAAAATAAAATGGATAAACTCTTAGCTATACTAATAAAGAGAGAAAGAAAACTCAAATTACTAACATTTGTGATGGAAAAGGAAATATCATGACAGACACTACTGAAATACAGAAGATAATTAGAAACTATTTTGAAAATTTATACTCAAATAAAATAGAAAATCTTGAAGACACTGACAAATCTCTAGAGACACATGATCTATCCAAACTGAACCAAGAGGACTTACTAAATTTAAACAGATCAATTTCAAGTAATGAAATAGCAGACACTACCAAAAACCTATTAATCAAGAAAAGCCCAGGACAAGATGGATTCTCAGCCAAATTCTACAAGACCTTCAAAGAAGAATTAACATCAATACTCCTCAAATTATTCCATGAAATAGAAAAGAATTGAACACTTCCAAACTCATTCTATGAGGCTAATATCACCCTGATACAAAAACCAGACAAAGACACATCAAGGGAAGAAAACCTCAGACCAATATCCCTGATGAACATAGATGCAAAAATTCCCCCCAAAATTCTGACAAATTACATACAAAAACATATTTAAAAGAGTATAGCATTATTCAGTGGGGTTCATCCCAGGGATGCAAGGTTGGTTCAACATATGGATATCAATAAACATAATACATCACATAAATCAACTTAAAGATAAGAATCATATGACCATCTCAATAGATGCAGAAAAAGCATTTGACAAAATACAGTGCCTCCTCATGTTTAAAACATTAGAAAAACTAGGGATAGTAAAAACATAACCCAACATTATAAAAGGTATCTATGTTAAGCCCAAAGTCAACAGAATTCTAAATGGAGAAAAATTGGAAGCATTACCTCTAAAAACTGGAACAAGATAGGGATGTCCCCAGTCTCCACTTCTATTTAGCATAGTCCTTAAATCTCTAGCCAGAGCAATCAGAGAGAAATTGAAACTATAGCCAGAGCCACCAGAAATAAACTGAAGAAGACCTCAGAAGATGGAAAGATTTCCAATAATCTTGGATAGGCAAAATTAATATCATCAAAATGGCCATACTACCAAAACTATTATACAGATTCAATGCAATTGCTATTACAGACCCAATTACATTCTTCATAGAATTAGAAAAAGCAATCATAAAATTCGTTTGGAAAAGTAAGAGACCCAGAAAAGCCAAAGCAATCCTGAGCAAGAAAAGTGAAGCAGGAGGCATTATACTTAAGTGAAGTAAGCCAAATGGAAAGCAAATAAATACTGCATGTTCTCTCTCATTATGGAAGCTAAAAGAGTCAACTTTAAAGTAGAATAGTGACTACTGGATATTGGAAAAGGTGTGGAGTTGAAGTAGGAGGGAGGTTGTTGAATTTGATCAATGCATGCTGTATGCAAGTATGGAAATATCATGCTAAACCCCATTAGTATGTACAATTAATATATGTTAATATTTTCCCTAAAAACTAAGAAAAATGAGGGAAAAAACTACAAAAAAATCTAAGCAACTACCTATGGTCTCCTGAAAAATTTGGTATCTTGCTTTTTAACATTGAGGCCTCAAATCAACTTGGTGTACAGTTTAATATAGAGATTTATATTTTTTTGTTTCAGATAATCTATTGTCTGAGTAACACTTAATGGACCACCCCAGTTTCCCTTGTGATTTTTCCTTTGGCATGTATCAAATTTCAGTATATGCATGGATCTCTTTCTGGTGCTTCTTTTTTTCAATGGTTCCATATTCTGTCCTTATGTTAATATCTGTTGTCTTTATTATTAGATTTACAACTTGATAATTTATAGCCCATGTCTCCAAAGATTTTTTTACTTTTTAGAAGAAGTCTCTTTACTCTTTTTGGCTTTTTGTTTTTTCATGAGAATGTTCAAGTCTATTAAAGTTCTATCAAAGGCCTCTCTTTGGATATTTTTAGAATTACATTGGAGAATAATTAGAATTTGTTTGAGAAAAGTAGAAAATTCTTAGATTCTTGCAAACATGAATATGTCAGTCTTTATAATGATTTAAGTGTTTTTACATGTTCCTCAGATATATTTTGTAATTTTCTCTATTAAGGTCATTATAAATTTTCCTATGATATTTTCTACATAATAATTACTGATGTTTAGAATACTACTAATTTTAAGTGCTTTATGTGATATCAAATAACCATAACATAAATTTTACCATTTTAACCATTTTAAGTATACAGGTCAATGGCATTATAGATATTCATATTGTTGTGTGACAGGTCTCCAGAACTATTTATTCTTACAAAACTGAAACTCTATATCCATTAGATAACAACTCCAATTTTTCTCTTCTCTAATCCCTAGAAACAACAATTCTAATTTTTCTTTCTATGAATTCTCTAGATTATACAGTATTTGTCTTTTTGTGACTGGTTATTTAACTTAAATTATACTTCATAGTTCACAAAGTTCTACCATGCTATAGCATATGTTTGAATTGACTTTTTAAAATGCTGGATAGAGTTCCATTGAGTGTGTGTGTGTGTGTGTGTGTGTGTGTGTGTGTGTGTGTACCCGAGCGCGTGCTCATGCACAGGTGGGCCACATTTTACACATCCATTCACCTGTATGTGAACACTGGTATTGCTTGTACTTCTTGGCTAATGTGAATGATGCTGCAATGGATGCAGGTTTGATGGTTAACTAATTAATTTCTATTGTCAATTTAACTGGATTAATAAATACCAAAAGAACTGGTAAAGTATTATTTCTGAATGTGTTTGTGAGGATATTTCCAGAGTAGATTGACTTGTTAGTGATGTTAGTGTAGTTGGGAAGATCTGTTAAAGGTAGAAAGTGGGCAAGTGGGCACTCTAGGGCTGGGGCTATAGCTCAGTGGCAGAGCACTTGTCTAGCATGTATGAGGCACTGGGTTAGATCTTTGGCATTACATAAAAATAAACAAATCAAATAAAGACATTCTGTCCATTTACAACTACAAAATCAAAAAAAAAGTAGAAAAGAAAGAAAGTGGGCACTCTCTAATTAGCTGGGAACCAGGATAGAATACCAAAAAATTAAAATAAAATAAAATAAAATAAACAGAATTCTCTCTCTCTTTCTCTGTCTTTCTCTCCCACCCCCCCCCTCTCTCTGTCCTGGTACACTATTCTCCCTGGTTGGACATCAGGACTCCAGGCTTCCTAGCCTTTGGATTCCAGGACTTAAGCCAGGGGCCCCTGTTCTCAGGGCTCACTCTCAGTGAAAGTTACAATATTGGCTTTCCTTGTTCTGAAGCTTTCAGACTGAGCCATATTCCTGGCATTTCAGTCTCCAGCTTGCAGGTGGCCTGCTGAGGGGCTTCTCAACCTCTTTAACTACATGAGCAAATTCCCCTAATAAATGCCTTCATATTTCCTCCCACATGGTCCTGCCTTTCTGGACAACCCTAGGACAATGGGCATGCAAATATCTCTTCAAAACCCTGTGTTCAGTTCTTTTGAATATGTACCCAGAAATAAAATGACTAGTCACTATGGTAATCCTATTTTTATTTATTTTATAATGTGAAACACCATACCTTATTTCCATTCAGATAACAAAAATTTATATTAGTACCAAGACATAGACATAAGACATTAATTTCACTTTATTCTCACCATCACATGTTATCTTTGGGTTTTAAAAATACTATTCATCCTAATAGATACAAGTAGTATATGTGTGAGGTTTTGATTTGCATTAACTAATGATCAGTTATTTGAGCATTTTTTATTGTGCTTGCTAGCCATTTGTATACCTTCTTTAGTGAAATGCCTATTCAATTCCTTTGCCCGTCTTTAAATCAGGTTATTCATTTTTGTTGTTGAATTGTAGGTGGTCTTTATATATTATGGATATTAATCCATTACCAGATATGTGATTTGGAAAAATTATCTTCCATTGGATACTTTGTTCTTTCACTCTGTTGATTGTGTCTTCTGATGCACAAAGATTTTAATTTTGATGTGGGCCTATTTATATAATTTTACTTCTGTTGTCTATGCTTTGGGTGTTATATATAAGAATTCATTGCCAATTTCTAATGTCATAAAATTTTTCTCATATTTTCTTAGAAAAGCTTTATAGTTTTCCATTTTATGTGAAAGGTAAGAGTGTGTGTGTGTGTGTGTGTGTGTGTGTGTGTGTGTGTGTCCACACTCATGCAAAGGTGGGCCACATTCATCCTTTGCATGTGGTTAGCCAGTTTTTCCAGAACCAATTGTTGAAGAGACTGTCCTTTTCCTTTTGTATCACCCTAGAGCCCTTTCACATCACCTACAACTTTTCTTTCTAACCTCAATATTTCTCTATTACAAGTTTTCTCTCAGAAAATAGAACTGGAAATGTGTTATAATAAGGGTTCTCTTTAGGATCACAGAAAGCTTGTCTCAGCTTCATCTCTTATTTGCTATGTGAACTTGAATAAATTCCTTAAAAACTCTGAAACAGCGTTGTCATTAATAAGCAGGGAATATAAATAGAACTATCTCTCACAATGCTCTTATGGGATTAATGAATATTTATGCAAAACAAATTTTCACATATTAATCAAATACTAGTGATAGCTATTCAAATAAAAGATGATTCAGTCAAATTGAAATTTTCAAACACAGCAAAGGGTTATTAACAAAGGTACCTGTAATTTTCTTCATGAATCCATCCTCTAAATATTTGTAATGCAATGAAAGTGGTGGAACTATGGTATTGCTGTAAAGATGGACATACACAAATGTAATAGAGTATAGCCAGACATAAAACTTCACATGTGGTCAAATGATAATCATTTATTAGCCTTTTGCTTTGTTTCTTTTTATTTCCTTAGTTAACGTTGAGATAAACATTTTCCTGTATAATTTTCTTTTACCTGCCGATGTACAGCATAGGATTATTTTTATTTAAAAATTTTCCATTCATTCATTATTGTATACTGATTTCTTCTCTATTATCTTCTGGCTTACATGGGAAATTTCTTCCCAATGACACCACATAGCATTACTAAGATTCTTGGTGAGACTGACAAGATATTACTCTCTTCCTTTATTCAGTGCTAACCAAATGATTTTGGCTTTTTCTTCAATGGGTAAATGATTCCCATGTCTGAAACTTACATGCTCCATGAAATAGCCCTGTTATTGATGAATTATTTGCTCCAAGTATCCTAGAAGAGTGAACTCTGTAAGAGACCTTTGAAACAGACCCTGAGACATGAAGAAGTGGGGCCAGGGTCATAGAAAATTAGAAAATCAGTGTTAACTCAAGTGCTCTGCCTTTGTAACAGTGCCATCTATGTGGAATCACATTGGTATCTGACTTGGAAAAAATGGTGGTTATTTTTAATTAATACTTCTCTTACTTTGAAACATCAAGAATCCAAGGTTCATCCTTCCCAACTGGTCATGATGCAGACTCATTCCTTTAGAAAGTAGTGATATGAACCAATACTTCCTCCCTGCTATACTGATCACAAAAACAGAACATCCCGATAAAAATCCAATCCAGACTTTTAAACAAGATAACCAAAACCCTGAGACCCGTTGAGAACTGTTTTCCACACACTAACTACTCTACAACGAACAGGATGGGCTCCATCATCTGAGGGCTCTAACAAAAAATTATTCAAATTTCATTAATCTGTTACTCTCTGTCTCTGCCTCTTTCTAGTACTTTCCAAAGAGCCCCTTTCATGTCCTTGTTTCTTAGGGTATAGATCAGAGGATTGAGCATGGGGATGATTATAGTATAAAAAAGGGCAATGAACTTTCCCTCACTCTCAGAGTAACTGCCAGTGGGTTGAAGGTATGTGTACATGGCTGAGCCATAAAACAGACAAACCACAAGGAGGTGGGACCCACAAGTCCCAAAAGCCTTTCTTTGCCCTGCCATTGACTTGATCCTCAGCACTGCCTGAGCAATGTGTGCATAGGAGCCTAGAATCAGTGCCGCAGGAACAGCCACAACTATGACTCGGGCCACAAACATCTTGGCCTCTGTGCCTTCTGTGTCCTCACAAGCCAACTTCAGGAATACAGGCATCTCACAGAAGAAGTGATTCAGGTAATGGAGGCCACAGAGAGGCAAGGCCATCATGAGGCTTGTCTGAATCAGAGAGTTCGTGAGGCCTCCCACCCAGGCAGCAATAGCCAGGGACTGGCAGAGAAGGGGATTCATGATGGCTGTGTAGTGGAGTGGACGACACACAGCAGCATAGCGGTCAAAGGCCATCACCACCAGAAGCATACTCTCAATGGAACCCAGGGCAAGGACAATGAAGAGCTGGGCCACACACCCTCCATAGCTGATGGTCCTGTCAAGTCCTGAAAGATTGATCAGCAGCTGGGGCACAGTGCTGGTGGTATAGCAGAGGTCCAGGAAGGAGAGGTGGCAGAGGAAGAAGTACATGGGTGTGTGCAGTCGAGGGTCCAGTCGTGAGAGAATGATGATGGTGGTGTTGCCAAAGAGGGTTAAGGAGTAGAAAATTGAAATATAAATAAAAAGGATGAGTTCCAGTTGAGGCCAATCGGAGAAGCCCACCAAAATGAAGCCCTCTCCAAAACTGGTGTTGAAATTTTCCATAGCCGTGTGCCTGCATAAATAATGGAAGACAATTCAATGCCCCCTATGAAGAACATGGATAAAAAAAATTATTCACAATATTCCCTAAATACTCCAAAATGATGTGTTTCCCTGTTTTCTATTGATTTCAGTTGTATGCAGTCTTCTTAATTTTTTTCCTTTTAAAACTGTAAATCACTGGATTAGGAATGATGTCATCTTTCTTTGACCATAGCCCTGCTGCCTGTGTGTTCTATGACAGGTCAGGTCACTCAATCCTGTGGATCTTATGCTTCCTTGTCTGAAAGTAGAGGTGACACTTTGTTTCCACCTTGCATTGAGATTAGAACAAATTTAAAATTAGCTTTTAAATACCTAATGTATAAAAAGGCAACATTATTATTGTTTTTCTCCTTTTTTTTTCCTCTCCTGGATCTATTGGTAACTTCTTTCAGATTTTAATCCAGGACTTATCACACTGATATCAGAAGTTTGACCTCTGGATGTAAATAGGCTTTTCAACTCAATAAATATAGTCAGTGCACCAATCCTGAAAAAATTGTTCATGACCAGCTGCCTTTGATCAGAAAAGACTCAGTAGACTGTTGATCCATCTCTTTAGGGAAAAAAAAATTAGCAACAAATATGTTCTTTATAGTGAGTCATCATGCCTAGAATGCCAGTTGCCCACATCTTCATCTGATTAATCCTATACTTCACCTGTACAGAAAGAGCTGTTCTTTCTTTTCTCACCCAGCCCTCTTTGCATAGTTTCTCTCTAGTACTTGTCCACTCACTGAAATTTTTTTACATGTCTTTTCCTTTCTCAGCTGAGAGCTCCTCAGTGGTACAGAACTAATTGAATATAAAATAAATATTAGCATCTTCATTTATGATACTCAAGATATGATAAATTAATGTTATATTAATTCATTACACATAAGAGCTATTAAAGAAATTTTGTCATGTATAGCATTTGACTCTCCCTGTAAATTTCATAAAAATATTTATTTCTTTTAAGAAATACACAGGATGACAAATAACACTTTTTGATAGATTATGGAAGAGGAATAGACATGAAAATTTGCCTTTCATGAAAGGCTAGCATGTCTTGTGGCAAAAATCCAAACAAGACCATTTGAAAATATGTCAGAAAGTAAAAGAGGAAAAAGTGATCAGCAATGGAATCCATAATCCAAAAGAGAACTTTAATATAATGATACCTGAACAATCAAAATATAAATGGTCATTTTAGTTAATAAAATAATATATTTGAACTGAAAGAATTGAACTTAGCTTCCAAACCTCAGTTGGACAATGGAGAACATAAAACTTGCCAACTTAATAGCTAAATACAATCCCATATAGCCAAAGTAATTCTGAAAAATTTTTTAAAGTTGTGGTATTGCATTTCCTGATTTAATTTTTTTACAAAACAAAAGTAACCAAAACAGTATGGTACACACACGCACACGCACACGCACACGCACACACACACACACACATACACACACACACACATACACACACACACGACACGTGAACCAGTGAAGCAGAAGATGTGATCCAGATATAAATCCTAACATATCTGTTTAACTTTTCACCAGGGTACTAATAGAACACAATAAGGAAAGGATAGTGTCTTTCATAAATTGTCCTGGGTTAAATAAATTTCTTCAGGCAAAGAAATGAAATTAGTCTTATATCATTTCATGCACAAGAACAATTTAAAAGACAAGAATAGCCTGCCATTTACTATAACATGGATGGAACTGGGTGACATTATGTAAGGGAAATAACAAAAACTGTGAGGTCTCATTAAGTGGGCAAGGTGAAAGAAAAATAAGTCAGATACATAGAGATAGTAAAAAACAAGGTTGCTAATAATGAGGTGGGTCAGGAAATGAGGAATACAAGTCAAAGGATACTAAATAGAAGATATTTGGGATGAAAAAGTCTATACATCTAATAACAATGTGAAAACTAGGTGTAATATATTTGTTTATTACTTGGGATTTGTACTAAAATAACAAATTTTAGCTGTTCTTCTCACAAAAACAAAGAAAAAAATGTGAGAAATTATGTGATACAATATATAGTATCCCATAGAATCATGATTTATACTTTAAATATACATGATAAAATTTATTCTTGCAAATGAAGTAAGAAATAAAAAACAGAAGACAAAGTGAATTAACCAAATCATTCAAATATGTATGTGTGTGTGTGTGTGTGTGTGTGTGTGTGTATATATATATATATATATACACACATATATATCCATTGAGTATATCCATAGGACACTAATTTGTTTTAAAGTAAACTGTAAAGAGATTGAAGAGGGATTGATAGAGTGGAGAGAGGCAGAGGAGAGTGGGGTGGGAGGAAAGTGCTGGGGATTGAAGTGGAGCAGATTGTGTTTCATGCTTTGGTGATAATGTCAGGTTGTATCCTGGTGTTGTTTGTAACTAAAAAGAAAAATTTTAAAAATAATGAAAGGCATGTCATCTTGCAATAGTTTGACTCTTATTTAGAAAGTGAGCTATGGAGGTAGTTTTTTGTCATTGGAATCTAGTACTTTTTAATCAAGAAAGTAGTGTGCAAGAACAGGGGCACCACATTATGTACACTCTAAGTTAAATTTTTTCTATCCCTGCTCCATCATATTGAATTTTTCAAACCAAAAACTCAGCACCTACCTGCCTGCTTGATTGCAAGCAACTTGCTTGGTTGATGTGCCCTTCTTTCTCAAATCCCAGGGGCCTGATAAAGTATGGTCTGATATCCAGAAACACAATTCCCAAATGAAGTGTCCCACTAACCTTCTCTCTGTGACTCCCTGTGTTTAGCACAGTCTACCTTACCCTCCTACTTTAGGCACTTCTCTGACACTAAGAAACCAGATCCTACAGTGATGACTGTCTTCGAGTCCTTGTAGAGATTTTCCCCACACTTCTCTGGGCTCACTGCTGGGGTCTGCCTCAATCCCACATCTGGTAATCATGGAAAGAAAAGCTCTTCTTACTCATGAACTTCCTGGGAATCTTTTTATCTTCAAGAAAAGTTACGCATTACGTCTCAAATGGACCTCACATTTGGGAGTCTTGTAGATCCCACATAATATTCCTAGCCCTCTATCGCATAACCCACAAGGGTTTGAGACCTAACAAGGCAAGTCCACCGTTGGTCAAAATGGCTCAGGGAATGGGTGCCATTAGGCCTCAGGCAAATTATCACAGTGCATATAGTTGGAAAATGTGGGAAAGGTCTCATTAAGGGAGCCCACAGAATAGACCCAATTCTCCTTTCAATTGACAGTATTCTATATTCTGAAGGAAATAACCAAGCTATGCAAACTTTACTGGATTCCATATTCCTGAAATGAAGGTGATAATTGCAAAATGAGCATTTCCTTACCAAATCTGTTATTCCAGTAAAAGAGGGAAAGGACAACCTGATATAAAGATCCCTAAGAACTCCTGATTTTAGAGCAGCCCTCTCTTCAGTGTTTAAAAGTGATCTGTGTCTACACATATCTCTTTAAATAATAAACTTTTTTTTTTCTTTTTAGCAGCGCTGGCAATCAAACCCATGGCCTCCCACAAGCTAAGCAAGAATTTACCTCTGAGCTACATCTGCAGCCAAAAATAAACTTCTTGAGATAAAAAAATCATACACTACATTGTTCATAACATTCCTTTAATTTAATGACACTGTCTGGATGATAATAATGAACCACAGTAAAATCAGAAAATTTAACCATGTATCTGAGAGAAAGATGTTCCTCAAACTCCTTACTAACATCCTTCCTTGTCCGAAGATCTATCCTTAAATTTGAATTGAATTTTTCCTTTTCTTATTCTCATCTTAAACAACTCTCTTATTAGTTAGTTTATAGAGGATTGAACTCACTACCAAACCTAATGAAGCACAAGAGTATCCTCCCTATTGTTCATCACACTCTGCACTTGTATAGACTCAATCAATCCCTCAAAATACCCCATCATCTCACATTAGAAATCACACAATTTCCATCCCATCCCCCAAATATTAAGGGTGATCTTCAAGACTCTATTTTAAAGTTTTTCATAACAATGCACTGATGTCTTATAGTGTAGGACCAGAAAACTACCTTTGGAGTCAAAGACAGCTTAATTGATATTCAAAGGATGAACTAACAAATTGCTTTGTAATTCTAACTCCCCACACAGAACATTGTCACCAAATATGATGGATTTTTCTCAAGTTCTTCCAGGAGGCGTCCACTCCTCCAAGAAACCTCCTTTGATTTATCAGCAGTAAGTTTGATCATAACTCTGTTCTGGGTCCCCTGGTTCTAAAAGTCACTTTACATATAATGGCATCATAGGAATTGAGTTTTGTGAAGCCAGCGTGGCACACCCAGTCAGTTCTCACTCAGAGTTTTATTTTTAAAAAAAATTGCTACATTTACCTTCCTTGATTCTATTGCCTTCAAGATAACGTGGGACCTGTTTAACACTGGTAGCGCTCAGGGATGTCTGGGAAAGACAGTTTCCTTTTTGATCCTGACTTCATCTGTCGGGTGGAGGGCTTGTACTGAAGTCTTGTTCTGTAGAAGTCATGCTTCTGTATGACTTCCTGCCCTTAACCCTCAACCGGAGGCTGAAGCATTTTCCCACTGTACTCTGATTCAGTCACCCTAACCAGATGAAAACAGGAAGAAGCTGGTGTATTGTCAGATCACCTTCTGACTCTAAGGTTGAGCACACCAATTCTCCCCTGGGGATACTTCCACAATCTCTTTAAGAGCAGTGGAGACAGAACTGATAACTAAGAGAGCTTGGAGTCCTCTGAGGCCCAATGTGGCAATTATAACCAACTGACTGGCTCAAGATCTGCCTTGCAGTCCTCAGTTCTCCCTAGACTCACACTCTGCCCAAACCAAACTGCTATATCCAGTGTGCTCAGAACACCCCTTCTCCCTTGCTCATGGACAGTATAGCCTTTCCCCAAATTTGACCCCAGTCCTACCAGCCCTT